CAGATAATTTCGTAGACTACCACCTTCTTTATATTCCATAACTATTATATAACTTTTTGTTTTTGGATTTTGTGCAATACCATATAATTTTAATAATTTCCTTGAGACACAACTTTGATCTTCATAGAAGCATTGAAGATGAGTTTCAATCTATTACATGTGTGCAAGTTATACACATGACATTTACGAAATATAATGCATATTAATATTGGTTAATATGTGTGATATTAAAAGCAATAATTTATTATCGCATAAATATTATTATTCATTACCATTGATATAAAATCAAGGGTTACATCATAACCACTTTTTATTTCTTTAATGGCAACATCAGCTACTTTTTTTTTACATCTAGCACCCCCCTCACAATATCTCAAACCATTATGCCATTTGGCATGATATACAACTCCATAGCTACCTTCACCAATTCTTTTAATAATTTTAAATTTAATGTTATATATACTAATATTTATTCTTATAAAGATTGTGTATATTCTCAACAAATTGAATTAACTATTCCAGATGAATAGTTATGTAAAAGTAAAACTTTTTAATTGTATTATTATATATGAATGGAAGTTTATCATAATACCACATAAAATTACAACATTATGAACTTGTTATCATTTCTAATAGTAATATTACAATTAACTTTAAATACCATCATCTTGAGAACTATTTACTTTGACAGTAAAGAAAAATATCAGGGAAATTTTATAAATTCTTTATTAATTTTATTTTTTTAGATTAAATGAAAGACATGAATATTAGTTAAAATTGTTTTGCAGACTTATAAAGCAGTTAAAAAAGACACATAATAATTTTGGAAGTTATATGACCATTTAAAAAGCTCTTGCCATTAATGACTTTTAGATCATTGATAATTACAACCAGTTGCGTTTACTTCATTGACAATCATTTTTTTGACACACATTTCGTCAATAGTTCATTTCATCAACAGCTCATTTCGTTGACAAACACTTCACTGACAGTTAGTTTACATGTGGTGATATTGCCACTGATTATTTTGGTGATTATAATAGTTGATGATGATTATGATGTAAATCAGACAAATTGACATTTCATTTGAATCC